AGAACTGGGGTGCAGGCCAGAGGTGCAGGGGCAGTGAGAGGATTCACCAGAGACAGAGTGGGGAGCAGAACAGGCCGAATGATGAAGCACACTGCCGAGGGGAGCAGCGGGCAGGTCAGGAGAGGTCTGCGGAGCCCTGTGGGTCCCCTCTGGGGTGGGTCTCGAACTCGCACCACACAGAGGCCACCTAGACCAGCTTTGCCGTGCTGTGCTTAACCCGGTGCTCCTCCAGGGAGGGCCCTATTCATCTTTTCTAACGTGCAAAGAAGCTGGTTAGGAACAAAACCCGTATTTCTCTGGCCTTGAGGTTGTTGTTGAACCAATTCTTTGAATCCCTTGTCTACGCCCTTTGAAACTAGAACCTGCGACTCTAAGAGGAAGGAAGCTTCATTATCTGTGCGATCAGCTCCACATTCTCTGTAGAAAGGGAAGGACAGGGCCGGGGAGCGCTTGCCGAGGACGCGCAGCCGAGACTCCAGACTCGAAGCGCGCTGATTCTGGAAGCTGACAGAGGGTGCGTGGGCGAGGAGACGCTGGCCGCTGCTCCGAGCTCCCGGCCTCCCCCCAGAGCGCCCTCCGCCAGACGCGCCCACGTTAGGCTTCCCTGTCAAATCCACGCGTGGTGCGCGCTCGGAAACCCCCTGCCCACCGGGTGACGAGCACACACCGCGGGACTTCGTTTCCACCCCCGCCCTCGGGCGCGGCTTTGCGGACGAGGGGACAGGAAGGCGCCTGAGTTTCGGTCCTGAATAGCAAGTGACAGCAAACCGGGGCTGGTCACCACGGAGCGTAAGTTCAGCGGTCGCATGTGCCATCTCTGCTCCAACGCACCCCGAGGACTCGCGCCCACCGACGTGGCCACCGGCACGCGTGGGTCTGAAGCATGGCCACAGCTGCCCGGGCGTAAACCTCAGTCCTCAGACTGTGGGTGTTGAAATACTGGGGGGCAGGGAGGAGAACCTCCACTTTCCTATTTTTCTTGGTCAGTTTTTAAATCTCCTTTCAGTGTCTGAGGGATTTTGAGCCATGAAATATGAATTCTTTCTCCTTTGTTTCCTGCAGGTATTTGAAGAAAGAAGAGCCCTGCTAGCAAAGTGGGTAAGCGTTAGGGATGCCTGCTGCACGCATGTGTTGTCACAGCCCAGGGCTGAGTCAGGCTGGCCGCGGGTGTCTGTCCCATGAGGTGCCTCCCAGTTAGCGCAGCGCACAGAACGCAGAAGTGGGCTGGATGCGGGAGGACGAAGGGAGGGAAACACAGGGGAGGCTGAGGGAAGGCTGAGGCGCACAGAACTGCAGGCTGCTGCCAGGCTTACCCACAGACTTACGGGCTCAGAGCTCAGGAAGGCGGGGAGCTGGAGCCCCAAGAATTACATGGAGGGCATCACAGCAGGCTGATTCTGACCCAGCCCAGTGTGCTGGCTCTGGGACTGTGGAAGACACTGGCTCCCCTGCTGCTGAAGAGCTAAGATGTCCCTGCCCTGCCCAGCATGGAGACAGAAAGAGCCAGGTCGCCTCCCTCCCAGCCTCTCCAGCGCCTCCACCCCACTGGAGCTTTTAACAGGGTTTGTGGGGTCCCAGCCTCCTGTGCCGGCAAAGCAGAGCACAGAAAGGTGGGCTTGTTCTAGAGACAGCAGCTTAGTGACCAGGGTGCTGCTTAGCATCCACACCCACCTTCCTACGGAGAATTCCAGAGGAAGCCACTAACAGCCTCATGCTTTTACCTAAGGAACTGTCCTTCCTGCAAATGAAGACTTTCTCACACTTTCCTCACAGCATCCCAGTGGTCATTGGTCATCCAAGGCTCATGACCTGAATATCCTCTGGGCATTGTTTATTCCTGTTCAGATCTCCCTATGGTCTCACCGAGTCTCTCCCACCCCAAGAGAATTGAAAAATTGCAGGTGCAGAGCTTGCACGTGAAGGTTCATAGCATGTCTGAATGAGTGAATAAACAAAGTGGGGGTGTGCTCATATCATGGAATATTATGCAGTCCCCAAAAGGAGGGAAATTCTGAAACATGTTGTAGAATTTGAAGACACAATGCTAAGTGAAGTAAGTGGGTCACAAAAGGTCATATATGATACAGTGCCACTATGTGGATTCTTACCATCAAGTTGGGTCAAGAAATCCTTATAATGAAGCATTATAAAATGATTATAACATATAATCATATTATGTTGTGATATCGCTGAGTCTAGCCTATAAAATAAGAACTAATACCTTGATAGAAGGATCACACTCCCCCTCTCACACACTGGACCCCCAGCTACTGTGAAATGGGTGTTGATCCAGGAGATGTGGGAGAGTATCAAATTCTTGCACAGATAATTCCTCCAAGGATTATTTACTCTTTGGATTATTCCTAGCACCTTTTCCGTTCCAAAGGGATTTCCCAACTGTGAAGTTGTCCTCTGAGTCATCTACCCACCTTCCTTCAGTAGGAGGTCAAGAAATGCAAATTCACTTCTATTAACCCTAAACAAACACAATTAGAAGGGAAAATCCCTGGAGGCCAAGAACACCTACCAAACCCAAGTATAAATTACCTTTGACCATTGTAATGGAGAAACAAATGAGAAGCCAATGTAATTATCTTCCCATCTCTAGAAGAAAATGTTTTACTATTTGCTTTTTATAGATTCTTAGCATTTAATAATCCTAATGCTCTTTTATATGCATTTTAAATCACTCAGTCTTCAATCTTGAGACCACTCTTTTCCTCTGGGCATCAGTGAAAATAGATGAGATAACCTGAGTCATGCTAAATGCACTTCTCATCCTTGTCAATGAACAAGCATGATTATTTTATACTGTTTAATGTAATTGTTTGCATATATGTTCTTCTTACATTGATTTGTCCACATTATTTTTCACATCCGTGTATTTTATAAGAGCTGCCACATCTACAAGAGTCACACACTCTAATAGGAATTGCCTACCTGCTTTATTTAGTCCTCACAAACTACCATGTAGCTCTAATTATCTTTAGCGTACAGTGAGGAAATTGAAGTTGCTGGTGGAGCTGAGATTTAGTGACGGATTTCTAGAGTCGTGGACACGCCAGGATGTGGGCAGTGGACTCTGCGGGGACCTTCCCACGCCCCGGTCAGTCCGTGGCCGCACACTGTCCGTGCCGTGTTTCTGTGTCACTGCACCTTAGCTGGCCCGTGCTGCGAGGCGGTCTGCACTGCTCTGGCTCCTGGCAGTGACACTACCTCATGAGCTTTTTTGTGCAGCCTTTGTCCTCCTGGGTCCCGGCATTGCTCACTTTCTACAGAAACAGAGCCGACCCAACAGTAATTTGCAAATGAATCTCAATTTTTTATTTCTCTCAAAGAAAAGCACAGTTGGAAGCTTTCCTGGTGTGCTCTGTTTCTGGAGAAGTTCACTACTGGCAGGTGCACTTTCCATTGTCACGCGCTTGTTCAGTTCAGGAAGTAAACTGGCTTCGGGGACCTTGTGATTTTCCCCTAAGTACCTGCTAGGTCTTGTATCCTAGTAGTCGGTGTGTTTGCAGGGAAATGTAAAATGCCCTTTCCCTGTGACCAGGACTTATTTCTGGACGCTTACTGCTCTTCACTTGACCCCTGAAGCTGTCATATGTCTGTGTAAGCAGGACTTAATTTTTAAATATGTAGATTTTCTCTTCATAGTCTCATATTTTCCATTTCTTCATTTTAAAAAAGTTGGCTGTAACCTCAGCTCACACTTCTAATTCACATACCTGCACTTGTGACCTTTGTGAACGGGAATTTGCATGTGTTAGCTGTGTTTGCTTTTGCCTTTCTGCTGCTTCCATCTGTGGGTTCAGGCCTCTGAAGTGAATAACTATTTTGTGGGGTTTTTTTTTTAACCTAAAAAAGAAAGAAAGAAAGATCACAGGGAATCCAGTTCAAATGTTTGATAGTGCTTCTCAGATCTCCCTCCTTCATTTCCCTGAATGACTGTAGAGGTGATTACAGTCAAACCCCAACTTCCAACCACCCAACACCCCACAGGCCTCGCATTTCCTCATCCCTCCACCCCCAAAGCCGGCTCTTCATTTTATACATCACCGCAGCCCCTGGACTCCGTCCTCTCCCCCCCCACACCCGTGGCCATTCAGCGCTGCCTGCTCTGTGCACATCTAACATCCCCGCCACCAGGAAAGACGCCTGTCTGGCGAGGTGGAGAGAGGAGTTGTGCAAAACGGGAACAGCAGAAACCAGGAGGCACGCCACCCCGAGTACTCTGTTCGTGTATCTGTACGTTGACACGGTTTTTTAAGATTTTATTTTAGGGGTTTCCTCCCTTGATTCACAGGCGATTGACAAGACTTTTAACACCAGTTTTCATCAAGAATGATTTGTATTCATTTCCAAAATACATCGTCGGACTACAGGGAAGGTGACTTGTCATTAAGCCGTGTAACAAAAGGCTTTTTGCTTCACACGCCATTCTATATACTCAGCGTATTTTATGATGACAACTCAAGCTCATTATACAATTCTGATTACTGGTGATGAGATCTGTAATAAATACATGTGAAATGCAATAGTGTGCAAAATGCAAAGTAGCCAAGCATCCCAATGTTCTCTTCTCCCATGGACTAAGGAAGAAATGCGAGATTCAGACTCTGTAGAGGAGGAGGGTGCTCGCTCCCTCCGCCTCCCTTGTCACCTTTGATCAGTCACTGATCTCGGTGGAGGGGTACCTCGGGGGGCCGTGGGGAAGTGACCAGAACGTGGGTCTCCTCCAGAGTTTCTGGTCTGAGGTTGCAGCCCCAGCGAGCGAACACAGTGAGAGTGGGAGCAGGGTCTGGCCAGGCGCCTTCTCTGGAGGTTGACCTTGACCAGGCTGACCTTGACCAGTCCATCTCTCCTTGGTGGGTCGGTGTGGCCAGCCCCAGCTGACCGTCCCTCCATGACCGCACGTCCAGAGGACAGGAGCACTTCCGTGGGCTCGCCCAGGTCCTGCGGGGACGGACACCTGCCGCTGTGGGCATGCGCAGGCAGGGCGCACCGGGTCCCACTAACACGGCAAGGAACGCCCCTACGCGGAGCCTCGCGCCGCCCTCGCCGGTCCCCGGGCCCTCGCGGGTCTCCGGGCGGCCTCCCCACCCTCGCGGGTCTCCGGGCCCTCGCGGGTCTCCGGCGGCCTCCAGCCCTCGCGGGTCCGGCGCCTGACTAACCCCGCGCTGCGCGGTGTTGTTCTCCAGTTCGACAGGTGGACAGACGCCCAGCGGAGGCGGGTGCTGGCCGGCCTGCTGGCGCGCTGCTCCGTGTCCCAGCAGAAGTTCTGCCGCCAGGAGCTGCAGGCGCGCCTGCCCGCGGAGGCTCTGGATTTCACCACCAAGCTCCCCAGGGTGTTATCCCTGCACATCTTTTCTTTCCTGGACCCCCGAAGTCTGTGTCGGTGCGCACAGGTAAAGGCCGGGAAGCGGTGCGGGGCCCTGGGGTGCTTGGGGACACGTGCATAGCGAGACCAAGACAGAGTCCGGAGTGGGGGGCGCGCGCTCTCCTTTGCGTCTCATGGGGACGCACGAGACGCCGTTAGTGTCCAAACGTGTGGGCTCGTTGAGGGGCAAGGACACTTGTAAGAGGAGCTGCATCAGCGGAGTCACCTCTTTTTTTTTTTTTAAGACTTATTTATGCTTACAGAAATGGGGTACAGGCCAGAGGTGTGGGGGGGTGAGAGGATTCACCAGAGTGGGGAGCAGAACAGGCAGATCTGCTGAAGGCCACTGCTGAGGGGAGCAGCGGGCTGGCCTGGAGAGGTCTGTGGGCCACTCCCTGGCCGGGGATCGAACTCGTGCTGCAGGGACTGCTGAGAGCTTCACAGTGTGGTGCTTTAACCTGTCGTGCCCCCAGGGAGGGCCCGCATTCCTGTAGGTTTTACTGACAAAGACTTATCCTCATCAAACCAAATCTAAAGAATCAATTGGACACGTGTGCCTTTATGCTCTCGGACTTCATCTGTTCTTTCCTCAGTTTCTTGGTATCGCTTTGTTAGTGGTTGGCTGACGACACGTGAGACCTAGAAGCCAGGGGTCACCCCTCTGGGGATGTCCCTTGCCCTACCCACCGCCATGCACCCACAGCCCCCGCTCTAGGCCACTGGGTTCCTCCCCACTGTCCCCCACCCCTCTCTGGTAACCTCGGCAGGGTAGTCTTATATTGCACCATAATAAAACAGTCCTACTGTACATTTTTAGGTCATCCATAAATAGAAACGTTTAAAATAAGGTACTAAGGGGATAAGTACAAAAGAGCAGGAGACTCAAAGAGCCCAGCTGGGCACAGGCCTGGGAAAGAGCTGCTTCTGTTTCGACGAGAAATTCCACGGTGTGCGAAGTGGTTTTTTTTTTTTTAATATAAATTAACTGATATAAAGTGGGCAGACATTTTATTGTCTTTTCATTGAGTTTGTTGAGTCTGAAATGACTGTATTGGTATGTTCTACTCCAAAACAAAGTAATTCTAGGAGCATAGAGCCCTAAATACTCAATGTCGGAGCCCTATGATAAAGTATTGTACAGTCACTAGAGAACATGTCTTAGGAGAACAGAGGTGCTTGTGTTAAAATAAAGTGAAGAAATGAATTGGCCAAGTCTTCCACAATGAGCAGCTGTGGAGTTAGCGTTCCAGGCAGATGGTATTTGAAATAAGTCACCTGACCGCTCATGCCACCTTGCGACAGTCAGTTTTATATTTACTCCCAGGACTGACAGTTATGAAGACACAGGTGGCTGTTTGCAGCCGGATCAGAATGTCATTGTCCCAAAGTGACAGTGAGCTTTTGTAAAAAGATGGAGCTGGTTAAGAAAGCTTCTTCTCGCTCCTTAAAGCAAAACAGTTGCCCAGGTCTAAATGAAGTCTAAGGAAAGAGTAAGAATTGAGAAGCTTCTCACCCTCCCTCCAGAACCTCAGCTCTCGCGGAATTCTCCTTGTTAGGAGACCTTGTTGGGGTGACGGCCCACGCTGCTGGCAGCCTCCCAGCAGATCTCTGGCCTTTTCCCTCCTGCCAGCCTCTGACAGAACTCCCACCCTCCCGCACCTCCCCCACACACACCCCGCCCCCCTCCCTTCTCTCGCTTCCTCACCTCACACACTGCCCTGGAAGGAGGGAGGACAGAGCAACGCCTTCCTAGTGCTCTGCTTATTTCTGTGACCTTCAGATGTGACCAACGAATTAATGGAGACCGAGGTGCATTTTCCCCTGGGGGATATTTGGGTTTGCAGGTTAGATGCCATCTTTGCCACCCTTAAAGCTAAGCCCCAGGATGCATGGGCACAGCTCGCTGTAGAAACTTGACCCTCGTTTCCAGTAAGGCTTATAGGAAAGCTGCAGTGAATTGCCGCCAGGGCGGCTGTCCGCAGCAGTTCACCTCCGCCTGAGCTGACGTGACCCGGTGCTGTGGACAGGGCTGAGCCGAGCTGCGGGATCCGAGAGGCCCCATGGGACACAGCATGTAGTGTCAGTGCTAAGTTCTGTTTAAAACTTAAATGGAATTAGGCCCTCCCTGGTGGCGCAGCGGGTTAAAGCACAGCACTGAGAATCTGAAGCCACTTCCGCATGAGTTCGATTCCCGCCTGCCGCCTGCCCCGGAGGAGACCACATGGCGAGCCAGACCTCTCCTGACCCGCCCGCTGCTCCCCTCAGCAGTGTACTTCGTAGATCTGCCTGTTCTGCTCCCCACTCTGTCTCTGGTGAAGCCTCTCACCGCCCCTGAGCCTCTGGCCTGTACCCCAGTTCTGTATGAATAAATAAATAAATCTTAAAAAAAAAAAAAACTTAAATGGAATTAGGGCCCTCCCTGGTGGGGCAACGGGTTGGGACGCAGCACTGCAAGCTAACCACAGCTGCTTCTGTGCGAGTTCGATCCCGGCCCCAGAGGTGACCCACAGGGCGCAGCAGACCTCTCCTGACCCATCTGCTGCTCCCCTCAGCAGTGGACTTCAGTCCATCTGCCTGTCCTGCTCCCCACTCTGTCTCTGGTGAAGCCTCTCTCTGCCCCTGTACCACTGGCTTACACCCCAGTTCTGTGTGCATAAGTAAATAAAATCTTTAAAAAAAAACATACATGGAATTAAATCATAAGCGTGGAGGGGAGTGGAAGCTTAGCAAGGATAAACGTCACACAGAACTGAGTTCCTATAGCCCCAGTCAGCTGCAGATAAGCTGCAGGGCCTTTACCAGCTGGACACCCTCTGCCTCTGTGCATGGGAGTAGTTATAGACTGCTGTCAGGTTGGCTAATAAGTACTCAAGAAATACGAGGTGATTCTGTTTTTCCTCTTTAAAGATGTATTTATTTATGCATTCAAGAACAGGCCAGAGGTGGGGGATGAGAAGACTCACAGAGACAGAGTGGGGAGCAGAACAGGCAGATTGAATGAAACCCACTGCTGAGGGGAGCAGCGGGCGGGTCGGCAGAGTCTGCCGTGCCCGTGGGTCACTCCCTGGCCAGGGACTGAACTCGTGCTGCAGTGGCTGCAGCCAGCTTCTCAGTGCTGCGCTTTAACCCACAGCGCCACCAGGGAGGGCCCTAGTTGACTCTGATTCTAAGGCTGAATCGACATGAACATAACTGAAGGGAAATCCTCCGGCAGGAAGCACTTCAGGGAAGAGGTAGCAGTCCAAGCTGTGGTTTGGAGGAAGAGGAAAAGTTCTCTCGGCGGCCCACACCTGAGAAAGTGGGCTCGCACCCAAGTAGTTCCCGTTGTCCCTGCTCTCTCCAGGTGAGCTGGCACTGGAAGAACTTGGCCGAGCTGGACCAGCTGTGGATGGTGAAGTGTCTGCGCTTTAGCTGGTACATCAACTTCTCTCCGACCCCCTTTGAGCAGGGCGTATGGAAGAAGCACTATATTCGGATGGTGAAAGAACTGCACGTCACCAAGCCCAAGGTAAGGCCCTTTCCAGGCCTCAGACCACACGGGCAACTCAAAGCTGGGCAAGTAGTTCAAAGGGCATCGACTAGAACAAAAACGTCTTCTCTAAGGACGTATCCACTGCCGCTGGCCATGTTTGTGCCTCACCGGACACCCCAACCACAGGACGGAGAAGCTCTGTCCAGAGCCTGCATTTCTGTACCGCAACTCCCAGCCAGCAATTTTTTTTTAATTTTTGTGTAGAAGAGAGGTGCAGGGGGTGAAGGGACTCACCAGATACGGAGTGGGGAGCAGAACAGATTGACCGAAATATACTTCTGAGGGGAGAAGTGGACAGGACAAGAGAAGTCTGTTGTGCCATGTGGGTCACTGCCTGGCTGGGGATTGAACTCAGGCCATGGCAGTGATAGTGCTGAGACTTAACCCCTTGCCGCCAGGGAGGCCCAGTAGCTGACATTCTAACCCCAGGACTGTGGCTGACAGCAGTTTGCGCTGATTATCTAGGGGTCACCCAAGTTTATGTTACTCGTTCACATTTTCTGTAATTCTGCCAGGGGAGCTGAAATTCGTTTTTGGATCATTTATCAAGAAAAGTTGTCCAAGAAGTCAAATGGACAGGCATATGGACACGGGAAAGTTCTTTTTAAGTTAGGAACTAAGCTAAAGAAAGCATTTCTCTGTCATCATAAAAAGTGAATAATTCAGGGATCATTTTTCCAGTGACTTTTTAGGCATTATATACAATGTGCATTCTCATAGTCAGTTAATTAGGTAACTGAAGGGAAATTTTTATGAGCTATTTCTTTCAGTGCGACACATGCAGAATTGTATAGCATTTTGTACGAAAGATGAGTTCCTGAAAAATTATGTGTAAATTAAATGTTTAGATGATTTTTAAAACCACAGGGGGATCATATTCTATGAAAAAGCTGCAGTGAATCCTTGTAAAATTGAAAATCCTTTTTAAATATAAATAGCAGCTCCTGACTCGCTCGTTTAGACTTAGCTTTTATTGTCTTAAAGTACAAGTCATCTACATTTAATATAGCAATAAACTATGCATAATTAATATTGTTACAACTGCAGGGATAAAACTGGCCTGTCTGATTTCAGCTCTTGGTGTACTGTGTGTGGATTTCCTTGACAATGAAATGGTAAACCTCAGAGGTGGCTTTAAAAATCACCACAGCTCGGGCTTTTTATTCTCGAGGCTTTACTTTTTTTTTGACTTTTGGAGGCAGGGAGATGGCTGTAGCCTGAGCTGTTCTGGGGCCTGAAGAGTGGGAAGGGATTAACTTGGAGAAATGAAAGGAAGTTTTGAGGATTATATATATTACACGTATCTAACGGAGATTAATGTTTTGCCTCCACTAATAATTCATCTTCCACAAAATATTCATACATAACTCTATTAAAAATAATGAATAGTGGCCCTCCCTGGTGGCGCAGCGGGTTAAAGCACAGCACTGAGAAGCTAAAGCCACTTCCGCATGAGTCGATTCCCGCCTGCCCCGGAGGTGACCACAGGGCGCGGCAGACCTCTCCTGACTGCCCGCTGCCCCCTCAGCAGTGTGCTTTGTCCATCTGCCTGTTCTGCTCCCCACTCTGTCCCTGGTGAATCCTCCTCTCACCCTCCACATCTCTGGCCTGTACCCCTGTTCTGTACGAATAAATTAAAAAAAAATTTTTTTTAAATAATGAATAGTTCTAGTATAAGAAAAGTCCCATGTCTTTGCTGAATATTAAACTTCAGTAGGGAATACTTTGTGTCAAACTTTAGTTTTCTGTTAAATAGACTGAAACCAGAAAAAAAGAGGTAAATAAAATCAACCCGTAGACTTCAATTTTCTGGGTTGAAGAACTAGACCTAAGTCAGAAGGACGAAGGTGAAGGAAGTCATCTGAGCGAGGTGAACCAATGTCAGCTGTCCACACCACACCTGGAGGACACCTGCTGCCCTGCCCCGCTTCTGCCTCTCACACACCGTCGCTGTCTCTCCCCCAACGCTTGTGCCGCATCGGAAAACAGGTGTGAGCAGGTGACAGCGGTAAATTCTAGACTCTCTGGCCTTAAAATGGGAGTCCTGTACAGGACCTTGTAACTCTCTAAGATTCCACTACCCTCTCCCCCCCCAAAAAATCCTCATGATTTCGAAGACTTCGCCTAGAAAAGGAAGAGTAAATCAAACCAGAGTAGGAAGAAGGGAGAAATAGGAGCTGAGATCAGTGAAATTAGGCAAGCAGTAGAGAAAGCCCAGACCAGAGCAACACTTTGACAAGGTTAGGAACACAGGTAAGTGTCTAGCTTGACTGAGAAAGGGAGAAGACAGGGCTGGCTGGCCTGGAGAGGAAGGGGAGCGCCTGCCAGGGAACTGCAGAGGCAGGGTTGTGCGGAAACACTGCAAACATCTTTTAAAAACAACACCAACACCAGCAAATCTTAAAAAAAAAAAAAGGTAAACAAAAATTTTACTTAATGCAGAAAAATTATCACATTTTTCACTACCAGTTTTGTTAAAGTATCACACATTTTGTATTATGTAGGATTAATGTTTTATTACTAGCATTTATGCCTGATTTTACCCTCAGAAGATATTTTTATTATTTACTTTTTATTCTAGTAGCATTATTCAGACAGTTTTCAAGCGAAAACAAGTAAGTGAGAATTCAGAGAAATGAAATCTCTAAAAGAGATGCACAAAACATTGACCACCAGCCCAGCAACAAGCTACGGGTGACAGGAGCATGACGTGTCCCCTGGAGAGTCTTGCAGACTAGCTCGCGGTATTGCACTGCGTGAGGGAATATTTGTCAAACATGGTTGGGTTCTAGGTGCTGTGAGTACGGTCACCCCACACTTGCTCTCCAGAGCCTCCCTGGTGCCCAGGTAACAAGTAACTGCCGCCTTGAGTACTAGGGCGGTTCTCTCTGGGAACCTCCAAAGAGCGTTTGAAACAAAGCTAAGACACTCAGCCATCAGCTTGGAGGGACTGGGGATGTCTTGATTTTCATGAACAATTCAAGTGAACCAATTTACTAGGCAAAGCTTCCCTAATCCCTTAAAGAATAAGAATTAAGCCTTTAATGGCTTCTCAACATACCAATTCCACTTCCCTCGGGCTACACCCACATAAAAACCTTACGAATTTAACACACACAAAATAGATTTTCAATTCAGGAGAACTAAAGCAACAGTATTTGGGAGGCACTGAGGGATGAGAGCTGATAAAATGTATATTCTCTTCTCTAGAACTTGAAGTTGTCTCCATGGGTCCCAGGTGATCAGAGGCAGAGGACTTCTTAATGAATCTGTATGAGAAAGTGATGAGTAATTTACAAATGATGAATATTGGCTAAATGAGGAATCGTTTACAGATGATGAATAAATGAACTGCTGCTGTGTAAAAGCTACACAGCTATAGGTACAAAAGGCCATTGGGATCCAGTTCAGACTGTGTCTTTCTTAATTTTTTTTAAAATTTATTTTACTTGGGCCCTTCCTGGTGGCACAAGAGGCTAAGTCTTAGCACTACGAAGCACTGCAGCACAAGTTCGATCCCCAGCCAGGAAGCTGACCCACGTGGCACAGCAGACCTCTCCTGTCTCTCCTCTGCTCCCCTCAGCATGTATTTGGTCAGGCTGCTGTTCTGCTCCCCACTCTGTCTCTGGTGAACTGTTTCACCCCCCTGCACTGCTGGCCTGTACCCCAGCTCTTGGAGGCATAAATGAATAAACCTTTTTGCATGTATTGGAAAGCATTTGCATTAATTTATTTATTTATGCCTACAAGGGCTGGGGTACAGGCCACAGGTGTGAGGGGGTGTGGGGGAGAGGATTTCTTAGGGGGAAAGGCTGTCCTGAGCCAACTCTACAGACACAGGTTTCGTGGACTCCACCTGACTGCAGACACTGGAACTATGAATCCCAGCGTCACCGCAGGGAGGGCTGCTAGGGCCGGGCGCAGTGAAGCCGCCGTTTGGGTTTTGGATATAAAACGGACATGTCGGGCTGAGGGTCCCTCTGGGCCTCGTGGTGGCAGCTGGTCGCTTGGCTCTTCGTTAGCTTTCGGAGTGCTTCTGGGGTTCCAGGTCAGCGGAGCTGGTCGGACGCTCTAGTTAACGTGCCTTTCTTCTCCCCTTGTAAATAAACCCATCACTGACCTTTTGTGTGTGTCTGCAGTGCAGCTGGATCGTAAGTGCGCGGTGAGGACCCACAGACAGGCAACACAATTCATGTTGGCCTGCCTGTAACAGATTCAGCAGACACAGAGTGGGGAGTAGAGCAGGTGGCTCCACTGAAATGCACTGCTGAGGGGAGCAGCCCTGGGGAGACAATTGAGGTCTGCTGTGCCATGTGGGCTAACTCCCCGGCTGGGGGTCGAACTCATGCTGCAGTGGCTGCCTCTTGCTCCAGAGCTGAGACTAACCCCTGTGCCACCAGGAGGTCCATGACTGTGTCTTCCTTATGTAGCAGTAGACAAGTCAGTGGGTTTACTGCAGCCTCAGTTTCCTCTGCTGTACAGCACCACGCTGTCCTAGATGTTAGATAAGCTAGTGCCTAGAGACTTCCCGAGACAGAGCTGGCACCTAGCCAGTCCAGCTGGGTGGTGACCACTGCCACCTTATCCATATTTATCTCCCCCAGGGGTATGATGATGTCCTTCGTTGCCGTTGCTGTATTGTTTTGAGAACACAAATGTTTGATTTTCTTCTAGACGCCTCCCAATGACGGGTTTGTGGTTGCTGATATTCAACCAGTGACAAGCACCTCTCTGGAAGAAAAGCAGAGCCCTTCATGGCTTTTCCGGTCCCTTTCCTCTCTAAGAAAGAAGAATCACCCAGGGGAGAAAGAGCTTCCACCCTGGCGGTCCTCGGACAAGCATCCAACGGACATCATTCGCTTCAATTACCTGGACAACTGTGCACCGCTGGACCAAGCCTGGCAAGGGTAAGCGCTGGTGGCCTTGCCCTTCCTTTGCTTTTAGAAACAGTTTCCTGGCCCTTCAGTATATGAAGAGATGAAGATGGTGCTTCCGCAGAGACTCAAGTGCTTTCCAATACATGGGAAAGTAATTGAAAAGTAAACGAGCCATTACTGGGAAATGAGTCCTGCTCCTCGAGGGTTGTTGAGCTGTGGCTGCGGTGACGTGACAGGACAGCCCCGTTTAGTGTGTGGATGCCTGATCCCAGCGCCGCACCAGGGGGCTCCCTCCTCACTTTTCCCTCTCCATATTTGTCTTCCCCTCCTCTGACGGTGAAACTTGATTCTCGCATTGATTGTAGAGCATGTATTACGTATCACATAAACACGTATTTGTGCACTGCATGTTCTAGATGCACCGCATTTTGCGTAAAAACTGAATTCCATCTACAGGTTAGCCATGTGTAGAGTATACACTTGCTTATCAATTCTGACAGTGACTGGAAAGCGCCGGAGGGAGCAAAGGATCCAAGGAGAGGGGAGCGGAGAGGGGAACATCCAGGATCACTAGCCCACAGCCCCGTGGGAGCAATCTGCTCGCTAGGGTTCAGTGCTTGTCTGCGGTTCCTTCGGTGTTCGGGACGAGGTTACGTGTAGGCATCACGCTGGGTTCAGATGTTGCTTGGTTCGGTTTTGTAACATCTCCTTCCGTGTGGGTATGCGACATGGTTCTGAAGTTAAAGCTAACCACAGCGTTCAAAAAGGACCCCCCAGGGGAATACCCACCTCCAGCTCTGCCCCCCAGCACATACCCACCGGGTTGTCTTCTCCTTCCCTTCCCTGTAATAAACCTCACGATGGCTTCTGGCACAAAGTTAAAGAGATGCCACTTCTCAGTAGTGTAGCTGGCAAGGAAATTTGGTTGGACAGTATGTTCTGCTGGTGAAGGAAGGTACAGGCGAACAGGTGTCCTCACGCACTGCTGGGGAGATGCAGCACATGACGGATTTCCGTTCTGACCCAGCGTCCCCCTGGAAACACCAGGGACACATCCGCACAAGGACATCTGCCGCACCACTGTTGGTGATTTTGACATATTGGGAACAGTTTACTTGCTCATAAATAGGAGTGTGTCTGTTGAATAAACTCTGTGGGGTCTGCTTCCACTGCAGAGGACAAGGCAGCTCTGAGAATAAACAGGGGAGAGCTCTGTGAACTGAGGAGGAAAGGGACCGGAAAGGAACTTAATTTCAGGACACACTGCTGAGTGAAAGAGCAAGCTGTTAGTGTCTGTAGCATGCTAGGCATGTGTAGGAAGAAGAGGAAGTAAGAAACACGCCTGCGTGCGAGTGTGTATGTGCCCGTGGCTGCTGGTTCGCTAGGGGCCTCCCTGGTGCTGCCTCGGCCTGGAGCGCTGGCCAGGGCCCTTCAGTGCAGCTCCATCCCCAGCTAGGGAGTGGCCACAGTGCAGCAGACCTCTCCTGTCTCCCTGCTGCTCCCCTCAGCAGTGGACTTTGTCCGTCAGCCTGTCCTGCTCCCGCTCTGTCTCTGGTGAAGCCTCTCACTGCCCCTGCACCTCTGGCCTGTACCCCAGTTCTGTGTGCATAAATAAATAAAAATCTTTGTTTTAAAAAAGAATAAGCAGGAACTTAAGGGACTACTGTGTGAAATCTCTGGGAATGTTTTAATATGCCCACCATTTTCGAATTTATTTCAACAAGTCGGTGCCAAGGCAGCAAGTCTGGTGCTCGGGCTCGAATCCAGGTTGTCACACTCAGCTGTGTGAGCCAGAGAGCCCCCAACCTCTCTGTGCCTTGTAAAGTGGCAGGGACAGGGATCGCTTAGCCCCAGGGTCACCCCCAGGGTGAATAAGTGTAACATGTTGACACCCGTAGCCAACGAGCTTCTTTTGTAGGGTGGCTTCTCAGGTGACATTATTTGGTTAATAAAGAAAGGACAATTCCAGGTAGCTTGATGACTTGGGGATATTCAGAGTACAGAGTGTTTTCAGGGCTCCGGGGGTCCCGGGTGAGAGGAAATGAAGGACAGCATGCAATCCCCTCTGTTTTTTCGTGTAACAGTATATCCTGAGGTCACGCCACAGTGACTTAAGGAGTGTTTTGCCTTCCTTGTTACCGTTCATAGTTCTCTGTGTGTCCAGTAGATCCCTACGGATGGACATTTCACTGGTTTCCAGCTAGTGGAAATCCATAGTTTAACTCAGAAATCAAACGGACAGATAGTTGCACAAGCCGGCTGTTTTAAAGTCCTCCTTTTGAATCCTGGCATTGTTTTGCACTTCACAGAAGACGGAAAAGACATGAAATGACCCCGGAGAAGTCGCGCGATAAGAAGAATAAGTTGCAGGATAAATCTAAGCTAAGAAAAGCGCAGTCTCTGGTAAGTATTGATTACCAAAGATTCCCCACCGGAAGCGCAGGGAACCCACTGGGCCTCTAATCCAGTTGTGAAATTGAATTTGCTTTTTTAAATCAGAATCAAGTGGTGATTTAATACCTGGTCTCTGACCGTGCGCGCCAGGGCTTCTCGTGTGAAGGATGCCCTCTCCGAGCCTCCGTGGTCTCACCCCTTACAGTCTGGATGAGCTGATGTGTGTGAACCTGCTTCCAAAACTGCCCCACGCCACGGGTGTTATTCAGAGGGCTTTCTCCTGCGGGGAGTCCTCTGGAGAGTGGGGGTCTCACGGAGCTCCCCGAGTTCTGCTGCTGCCCCAGGGAGCCTCCGTAGAATAGTGTTTCAAGTAACTTGAGAAAAAAATGAATGAAGAACTTTGCCTTCCCTGCTTAAGAAGGCGCTGATGGGCTACCCACCGAGCCAGCGACCAGGGGGCAGAGCACGCCAGTGCCATGCCCAGCTCGCGGCTCTGTGCCCCAGCGGCGTCCGTTCAGGGCAGAAGCGAGGAAGGCTGGAATCAGACGTCCACATTAACAGGGAAGAGTTTGGACACAGCTGAGATACACACTCACGGGAAATTCATATGAAGCGATGTCACTGGGGAGAGAATAACTACATGGTCACACACAAATCACTTTTATGGCTCTGCTGGAAAGCCCTGTTACTCTCTGTTTAAATGTATTTTCAAGTGTTATGCGAGAGAGAGAGAGAGAGAGAGAGAGAGAGAGAGAGATGAGCTTTTAAAGATAGGGTAGTTTGTATTCTGAGAGGCTAATTTTGTTGGATTGCGTGAGGCTTATCACACATCTGTACAGATGCCTGAGGGAAGGCGGAGCTTGGAGCAGTGCAGTAAAATTGTCAGTGAAAACCATTAATTGAGAAAAATAACCTTATGAGGCTTATCACACAGGCTATTCTGGCTGCTTCTGCCCAGCTTCCCCGCCGCTCCTGTGCCGGGAGCAGGAGAGATTCAGGGAAGAACGGAGTCGGAAAGGACAATGAAAGTTGATGTTGATGAACGCCCACCAGTGGTGAGCGGTGTCAAAGTCAGCAACAAATCAAAGGCTAAACAGAAGTCTCCCCCCACGGCGTTTGATATTAAACATCTGTCACACGCTCGCTGGGCTCACTTAAGTGAGATTATTCACTATAAATTAAGAACTTAAAAAGTTGTGCTCGTTAAATCTGAAAGGGGAATCGGAGCAAATGGGACAATTAAGCTATTAATAAACAAAGCACATGACTGTAGCCATCTACTTGTGGTGTTCACGTGAATATGAAATGTTATCAGTGAGGCCTCGGCATTTGATAACGGCATAATTAAACTCTCCCAAAGCACTCTGGGGTCTCCGGCTGGGTAGGGAGGCCTCCAGTCGGCCTGGCTGCGGCGCCCCGAGGCCGCAGGTGGCCAGGTTCCTCTCTGCCTGGTGGCACTTGGCTCTCCCTGGCAGCCGGGAGCCCAGAGGAAGTAGCCACCTTGGAAGTGATGCCCGGGGCTGGCAACGGCAGAAATGCGGGTGTGGGCCTGGTGAGACAGATGGGTGCTGCCAAGCCATGAGCAGGAAAGAGGGAGTGAAGGGGACACCTCAGAAAAGGGAGCTCAGCCGGTAAGACGTTCTCGAGTCGTTCAGGCAGGTGGAGCTCGGAAGATTTCAGGAGGAAGCAGAGAAACAGAGGGCAGGCCTGACTTAGGGACAAATCCCGAAGGTAAGGACAGAAGGACAGACCCCCGCCCCCGCAGCCGGGGCGGCTGGAAGAGGAAGGAAAGGCCACAGAGCCCACCAGGCGGCCTCTCTCCACCGGGCACCCGCACCCTTTACCTCCAGTGGCTCCAGGGCCTCAAGCACAAGAGCTGTTTCCTCTCAGGCACCTTCCAGGGAGTTGACTTCAAACCACACCTGCAGCGAGCCTGTGATGTCGCCTGGGGCTCTATAGGTCTGAGTGTTCAAAGCCCCCCCACAGGAGAGCCTGGCTCCCCTGCAGAGCTGCCCTTAGGCCCTCCGGTGAGTCCGGGCAGGTGGAAAGGAAACCATGCTCCCATCACACTGCTTTGCCACTTTGAAGACTGTTTATTAAAGTTACAGACACACCAAGAAGTGCTGCTGCTCTTAGTGAAGATAAAATTCCATGCAAAGCAAAGCAATTAAAAAGTAGAAACACCCCAGTGTGGCCAGGCACCATCTGAATTAAACTTCAAAGATGTTTCCCGTCTTGTGTAGACACGGAGCAAAACTCTTAAATCTTAGCAAACTTCCTGCAGCTTCTCTGGGGAGAAGGGGACGGTGGCAGCGGTCTCCCTGGGTGGGGGTGGGGGAGCAGGGGGTGGGCAGCAGGGAGAAGCTTGCACTTTGCCTCCAGGGCTTGGCTGCCCTGGGTTCTGGACTGGGAGGGCTGGGTCTGGGGTTTCTGCTTCTGCCAGGGGAGGGGGCTGGAGCGGGGAGGAAGAGCAAGAGGACTATCAAGCTAAGCTGTCGTGAGCCCCTGCAGCCTGAGTTTGATCCCCCAGGGAGGGCCCCCAGGGCACATTAGACCTCTGCTGTCTCCCGCTGCTCCCCTCAGCTGTTATCTCATCAGTGGATCCGTCTGTTCTGCTCCCCACTCTGGCTCTGGTGAATCCTCTCACCACCCTGCCTGCACCTCCAGCCTGTACCCCAGCTCTTAGGTGCAAAAATAAATAAAATCTTTAAATAAAAAAAAAGAAAAGAAAAGAAACCCTCACTATCTGGGTTCTGAAATGGCCACAGACTTCAGAAAGCTGCTGTTCAGGGCCGGAAGGGAAAGGCAGGACCCAGAGCTAGAGACCTTCTCTCCCTGTGCTCCGTGACTCCAGCCCTGAAGCTCCTTTCGCCTCTTTCCAGGACGACTCTTCCCTAATGTCCTGGTATTTTAAGGGCTTCTTCAAGTTTTCTGCCTCTTTTCCCCTCTCTGGGTCAGAAGGACAAGGAATATACAGGTTCCCCCACTATTCAAAACTAGACTTGATCTGGTGGATTATTTTTTGGTTCTGGGAATATCCTATTGATTTACATGGAAAATTCTTCACCATTCTTAAGCCCTCCCGCCCTCAGATAAGCTCCAAATACCGACTTGTCCCAGAGTGCCTCCCCCCTTAGGGCAATGGGGGTGGGGGAGGAACCTGCATACCCTTAAGGTGCTAACGTTTCCCTGACTCACCCCATGAGAGGCACAGCGGCTTAAGGACCAGGAATCCCAGGTTCCACCACCAAGCAAGGCACTCAGCCTCTGCTCACGGGTTCACTTTCCCATGGATAAAATAAGTCTGCACGACAGGGTCTCTAGAGCCAGGCTAACACCCGCATTCTCCCACGTGGTCCTCCCCCACCCGCTTTCCTTCTCGACACCCAAGGGTGCGGGAGGGGGGCCGTACTGGAACCCCTCTGCTCTCCAACCCTGACTCTAGACCAATCCCTGCGAGTTCCCTGCAGCCTTACGGATGCTGCACGCCTTCCCCGGGTGCCCCCGCCAGCCCGCGCGAGGGGGTGGGCACCTGGCGAGTCTGGGCTGTGAGTGCCCCGCACCTGCTCACCACGGTTGGGGGTGGTGGTTGCAGCCCAAGAGAACAGCCTGCTTGTGAGACTCCTGGGGGCAAAATAAACTCTCTGGAGGACCCACCCTGCAGTCGGCCTCTCTCTGCCTCCGAAGGAGCCGTGTTTTCCTGTTCTGTCTTGCTGCCGCTTGTCCACGCCAGGCGTCCTGAGGTTCCCTGGCTCTCCCCCGGGGCTTACTGAGGGGACTTGATGTACTCGCTGTATGTGCTTTAGAAGGGCAGGTTCTCACCTCCGCAAATGCATGTCATCCCGCCTCAGCCGCCACGCAAAGCCCCCCAACCCTCCACCGCTGGCCCCTGCCACCCCCGACCGCTACATGTTTTTACCTGAGAGCTAAGCGCGAAACCTTGCGCACACATGACTCAGTCTGCTGGAAGAACAGCGTTTATGAGGTAGATAACAGTACTTACCTACATAGGTTATGGGAAATGTTTGCTCCCTGCACTGCCGGGTTTATAACGCGCCAGTGTGAATGTGTCCAGCGTGCAGACTCCCGCGCTGGAAGCCGCTCCCCTAGGACATTGCGTTTTGAAATATGAGAAGGTGAGCATCACCAACAGACAAGCTTTAGAACATTCTGGCACGTTGGAGCACAGCCTCACCTTATGGCACCTGCTCGGGAAGCTGGATGGTGCACCAAATTCACAACTGCAAAATTAAACCTCAGAGCCCTGGGGAAAGTTGCTTAGCCCCCCACTGCCGAGAGCAGCGCACCCCACGTCGCTGCATAGGCCCAGCACGCTTCTTTCAAACTGTGTCCACTTTTCCTCCCTCACAGTCACCTCTGTATCTCAGAGCAGGCTGAGTGGGGAGAAGGGGGGACCCCCCTCCACAGGCGTGGACCAAACCCTCCAGCCCATGGCCAGGCCCTTTGGGCTCCGGGGCAGGCAGGCCGGTGGGCAGGGCTGGCCTGCGTGGAATTCCCGGACGGGACCTTCCCAGGCCGAGTGTCCATGTGCTTGCTGATGCCAGGACGAGACGTTACCGGCTCGGACGCTCCCAGCACCCTCAGAGCCCCCTCCCCGCTCTGAGCTCTCCCCGCCCCACGACCCCTCGTCACTCAGCCCAGCCCAGGCTTGGGCTATATGGAAAACTTCTGATTGTAGGGTTTGCAAAGACAACAATCCACATCTTATGCGGCCTTACCACGCCATGGGTGGGAGTCACAGTACTAAAATGCCGAGAGTAGATTAGACCAAAGAGGTTTCCCATGCTTGGAAGAGTTCACTCCTGCAGCCCCGAACCACATCACAGACTTGGGAGGGTTCAAGGAAATCAGAGCCTACAACCCCAGCTCAGGGCCGCGGGCAGGTACTGCCGTCCCTGGTGGCGGAGTTTCTGGACAAGGGGCCCGCACGCTGCCCGTGTTCTCAGGAGCTGCTTTCCGCAGCCTCCTGCTTCTCTGGCTGATCGGGTCTCTTCAGTGGTCCGTGGGCTCATCCAGCAGGTGTTCGTTGATCCGACGGGTGTTTGTATCCATGGTTATTTGAAAATTTCTGCAGATCACGTAGCATGTAGAGATGGGGAGAGGCAAATATCTCTAGAATCAGAATGAAGTGCGACCAGTAAGAAGTCCATATGTGCAGTTTGCCAGGCGCCATCCCCCTTCGTGAGAACATGCAGGCCGGAGCCGGGAAGCTGGCTGATTTGGGGAGATCACCCAGGACAGTAAAATCCCCAGGGGATTTTACAGGCTTTTCTGCTCTCCAGGGAGCCAGGCACACAGGCAGCGCGGGCCAGGACGGGTGCTGGAAGGCAGGCAGCGAGCCTCCCACCCCATGAATCTTGACGCTTTCTCTGGGCGCCCTGGCGTCTTGTGAACTCACCTTGTCTGTAACCACGCAGGTTGTCCTTCACGCTTGTCCCCGCTTCTAGGCACGGGTGCACATGCCCACACCATGCTCAGGTGTCCACTGCCAGGTACCCGCGCCCAGCCCTGGGCGCCCCTGCATCAGCACCATCCCGGCCGCAGGTGGTGGCCACCGAGGCTCGTTCGTGGCGTGAAAAGCCAGGTGAACTCCCTCGCCCACCCGCAGGACCCACCCGCAGGACAGTAGAGCAGGTGGTCCTGTGTGGGCTGGGGGGGAACTGCACCAGCGTGTTTCAGAGAGCAGAGACCGTGAGCAGCTCACGTGCCGGAGGTCTGGCTCAGCTGTCATGGCAGCATGCATTCCAGCCATTGAAGACTGTTCTCCAGCACTGGTTTGTCACAACCACGCTCCCACAGACACGTGAACTCGTGAACTGATTGACACCTCCGTCCCCTTGACCCTGCCCATTCTGGAGTATGGGGGTGCGTGACCTGCTCAAGGTCAGCCGGTACTGAAAG